AGGACAGTAACTGGCACATTATATATGTATCAGCTGTTATTGTTATGCTGGGGGGCACTTGCTGAGAAGTATGCCTCTTTGTTGTTCCCCATTCCCCTAACTGTGCCTGCAGACAACACACGCCTCCCGCAGCAGTAAGAGAGAGCCCACCCCTCCCAGGCCTGAAGGGCCAAGACTGCATCTGGTGCAGATGTGGCAGGGACTGGCCTCCATCGGGAACCTCCCCACCCCATCCCTGTAGCTGAATGTGGGCCCTGAGCCCACGCACAAGTCACTGCAGCTCCTCTGTCTGCCAAGATCAGCATCTGGAAAGCTTCTCTGCAGCCCTGGAGCCCCTTCCCCCAGCACTGGGGTGATGATGAGAAAGTTGGAACCCGTCTCAGACACTTCTCTTCATACAGTTCCTCCTGCCAAAATTCAAGAGCAGGGGGCGGAGGCTGGCGAGTGGAGGCCTGGCGAAGATGGAGGACAGGCCTGGATTTGGGGGAATTCACAATATTTGGGAGTCCTTGGGTGGTGCAAACAGTTAACATGCTCAGTTGCTAACCAAAATGTTGGAGGTTGGAGTCTACCCAGAGGTGCCTTGGAAGAAAGGCCTGGTGACCTACTTCTGAAAATCCACCATTGAAAACCGCACAGAGCACAGGTCGACTCTGACACACATGGGGTCTCCATGAGTTGGAATTAACTCAACAGCAGCAGGACTGGACAGGACACAATATTTGGGATAAGGGTGGGATCAGAGGTCAGAGTGTTCCCCTCACCTGGATCACCGAGAACATTCTGCATCTCATCATTGACTGATGTGGTCTGAGCCATCACCACTGCCCTTCCCCGCCAACTTGCTAGGGCAGGGATGGGGGTCACTGGATCAGAGCTGGGGTGGGGGCTCCAGAAGAACAAGGGGGCAGAGAGGCAGGGCTGCTGGGTTAGGAGGAATTAAGTAGCTCGAGTTCAAACCTTACCCCTGCTGTGTGCCTCAGTTTCCTCATCTTTAAAATGGAATGCTAATAATAATAGCCACCTCCCAGGGTTGGGAGGTGGTAAAATCATGCCCAGCACATAGCCTGGTGTTGTATGAGCATTAGCCATTATTGTCAGAGACCCTATAATTAGTGGAGCCTGGTCCAGGCCTCTTCCTTCCCCTTTATTTCCTCTGCCTGGGAGCTCCCCAAGAAAAGGGCCTTGTTTCCTTTCTCTTCCACTGTTCCCTCACACAGGGGCTCCCCAGGGTAGGCTCAACTCTCTTCCTGACCCCTAGGCCATCAGGAAGTTCAGACCTCCCGTGTGTTTTCCATTTCTGGAGCTCATTCCCTTAGCTGACCCAACAGAGACCTCGTGTTGCCTCAGAACTGGGAGGGAGGCGGAAGTGGCCTGTCGGTGTGGCTGTGTGTCCCTGGGGACATTACCTTTGTCTGGGAGCTGTGGTCCCCCGACAGACAGCCGGATATGTCTGTGGCCTTGACATTGCCCCGCCCCCAGGTCCCTGGGGAGATGGCAAATTGCTGAGCCAGCTGAGGCACTTTGATGGGGGCCATTTCCTCCCGAGCCCTCAGGTCCCCACAGTGCATTGAGATTTCCGCTTGATAGCTCCTCAGCAAGGAAAGGACCCAGATTTCTTTGTGCTTGGTCCCCTGTGGGTCAGACACCTGTTTCGAGAGGTTGTCCAGGCAACACACTGTACTTGGCAGAGGATACGGTGAGGTCTTGTGGAGGCCTGACTAGACTCTGAGAACCAGCTGAGGTCTGGCCCGTAACCAAGGAGACCCCGAGGCCTGGCCCAGAGCTGAGGGGGCCCCGAGGTCTGGCCCGGAACCGAGTGGGCCTTGAGGTCTGGATTGGGCCTGAGTGGACCCTGAGGTCTGGCTCAGGAAAAGGAGCCAAGTCCGGAGTCACCAGTCAGTCTGACTTTCCTCATCTCCCCATCAAAGCCCCACTATCCTGCTTTGGAACTGTCTGGTTTCTTCTCTGTCTGCTCTGTCAGACCTCAGCTTGTAGACAGTAGCAACCAAGAAAGCTACACCTGTGCCTAGCACAGAGTCTGGGGCCAGAGAGCCACCCAGGAAAGAAAACCCATGTTTATTAACAGTGTTAATAGGTTGGTTTGTAATATTAATTTCCTTATTAATACTTTAAACGTGCTGATTCTTAATATATTGTGTTTGTTAATAGCATATATTGGATAACACTGATATATTTATTAACATTATTGTTTATTAATATTTATTATTATTGTTATTATTATTATTACAGGAACTATTTTACAACTAGAAGTCTGGTTATTTGTCAGCTTTTATTTTACTTTTCATATCTTTGTAAATTTTTTGAGTTGATAATACAGGGCAAACATTTCAATTAGTCCCTCAGGGTAAAATGTCTGGGGCCCCCTCTCACCCAGTCCCTCGGGTCCTCAGTCGCCCCTTGGGTAACCGCTGTGACAGGTGTCTTGTGCCTCCTCCCGGAGACGGTCCGTGCATCCACAGGCAAATATGTGTGTATTTATACAGCCCTTCTAAACGGACTCCGAAATGCAGGCAAGCAACATATAGTGTTCTACACTGTGCTTTTTTTCAACTTATCATGCTTGTTGGAGATGGTTTCATATCAATACATACAAGACTACTCCATTTTTATTTTTTGATAGGCATACATGAATTGGCTTTATTTTCCTTGTTTGTCCTTTTGCTTTTCAGATGCTCTTTATTGAAGTGTAATACATACAGAGAACAGTGCACCTAGCTGCTCCCTCCTTTTAATTGGTTGCACTGTCTGGCTATCAGGCAGCCTGAATTTTCAAATTTAAAATTATTGTTGGAATGGGAAACATATGCACATGTTACAAAAGTCAACAGCTACAAAAAGTGTTCCCAGGGTGAAATCCCTCGTTCCCCAGCTCTCAGTTCCCCTCCCAAGGGGTGAAAACCTACCGGTCTCTTCTTCCTTTGAGATTCTGGATATTCTGTGTACATACAGTAGAACATCAGCTCCACCATGGCAAGGGGTTTTGTCTGTTTTGTTCCCTGATATATCTCTAGTCTTTAGAACAATGCCTGGTACATGCCAAAAAAAAAAAAAAAAATCATATGCTGTAGAGTCATTTCTGACTCACGGTGACCCCATGCATGTCAGAGTAGAACTGTGCTCTGTACAGTTCTCAATGGCTGTGATTTTTTGGAAGTAGATGGCCAGGCTTTTCTTCTGAGGTGCCTCTGAGTGGATTCAAACCGCCAACCTTTGTATTAGTAGCTGAGGGTTTAAACATTTGAGCCACCCAGTGACTCTTAGCCTTGGATATGTTTTTGTTACTGTCAAGTTGATTCCAACTCATGGCGACCCCATGTGTGCAGAGTAGAACTGCTATATAGGGTTTTCAAGGCTGTGACCTTTTGGAAGCAGATCATCAGGCCTGTCTTCTGAGGTGCCTCCGGGTGGGTTCAAACCACCAACTTTTCGGCTAGTAGTCAAGGTGCTTAATTTATTTGTTAAATAAACATGTAAGCAGATTATGTATATACATCTTCACAAATGGCAGCATAATTTCTGGAAGCCTTAAAAAAGGTTGTCTCCCACCCGAACATAAGTTTTATGAACCAAAATACCAAACCAGTTGCCGTGGAGTCAATTCTGACTCATGGCAATGCTCTGTGTGTCAGAGTAGAACTGGGTTCCACAGGATTTTCGTGGTTGACTTTTCAGAAGTAGATTGCCAGTCCTTTCTTCCAAGGTGCCTCTGGGTGGACTTGAACCTCCAACCTTTTGGTTAGCAGTCAAGCTGTTAACCATTTGCACAACCCAGCTCTATGAGGGCAGGAATTTTTTTTTTTCTTGTTTTGCTCATCGATATGCCTGGGCTCCCTAAACGGTGTGCAGCGCCCAGTAGGTGCTCCATAAATATTGGTTGAAGGAATGAAGAGCTTCTCTATATCTTCTTGTCCACAGGTGCACAAACACAAGGCATCAGAAAATGAAGATGTGTTTTGCCTCTGGAACTGGGCACACAGAAACCCAGGAAAAAGAGAATGTGGGAAAGCGGGAGAAACCAAAGAATCATGCAGAAGACTGGGCCCCAACCTGGAAGGCAGGGAGCAGCCTGGGCCTGCTGGTCGACCACAGCCAGCACCTTGGCAGACTGCTGGGTGTTGCCAACCTTCTTGGTGCAAGGGAACAGCTCCTGAACTCTGGAGTCTTGTCAAAGCAGAGACCAAACCTGTCTTTGGGACGTGGCACATAGTGGAAACTTGATTATTTGTTGGATAGACACACAATGAAGCCCCGGTGGCGAAACGGTTGAGCGTTTGGTTACTAACCAAGGTCAACAGTTCTAATCCACCAGCCACTCCTTGGAAACCCTATGGGGCAGTTCTACTCTGTCCTATACGATCGCTATGAGTCGGAATCGACTCCACGGGAACGGGTTTGGGTTTAATGGGTAGACGCACGGTAGGCACTTAGTGTTTGTTGAGTAGATTCCCCTGCAACTAACAACAGATACACCCATTGCCGTCGACTCGATTCCAACAACAGACACACAGTAGGCGTTTACTGCCTACTTGCTGCATTGACCCATAATAGGTACCTCATGGCTCCAGTTCCAGGTTCTCAGGGATAGTCCAAGAGTAGACCTGGAGTCAAGACAAGTTGTTTCAGGTTGAGGTCACCTGGCCAAGAGTGCCGTGATGTCATGGGGCTTCGTGACGTCACGCGCCGGCCGGTTCTCACGGGTAGGGGCTGGGCAGTGCAGGGCTGGAGTTGGGGGAGGGTGCGGACAAAGCGGCCCTGCGCGCCGCACCCTCAGACCCTTGCGCTCGCCCCGGCCTGTCGGCCACATCTGGAATTCATTGCTGCAGCCGCCGGAAAGGGGCGGAGAGGAGGGCGGGGCGAGCGGGGGGCCGAGGCAGTGGCTCTCTCCGCCCCCCCTCCGTCCCTGGTCCCCAGCCCCGGGACTCAGCGGAGTCCGGCGGGCAACCCCAGCCCCAGCCGCGGCCGCGCCGGGGACAGAGCCACCAAGGCCTCTCCGGCCAGGGCAGGGACCCGGGCCGGCCTAGCCAGGTGAGCGCGCGTGGCGAGAGGAAAAGCAGAAAGGGCGGACCCCGGTCCCCTGAGGTCGCTGGATCGGAGCTGGGGGGACCCGGCCAAGGGTTGGGGGCGCTCCAGGGCGCGCACGCGCCGCCCGTGCTCCTGCTGCACGATGGGGTAGTCCCCGTGCGCCCTTTCCACGACTCCAGGAGGCTCCCATTTCCTCGGCCCCGAACCCCTAGACTGCGGTCACCGCCTTCCCCAGCGGCAGGAAGTTGGCGCCGAGAAGGCGGAATCCAAACGCTTTCGGCTGGAGACGTTGGGAGGGAGGACCGCACACCCGGGTGCTGGGGGGCTTGGGGAGAGAGGGTGTAGAGCGCCTTTCTTGGTGACCAGGGCCGGACAAACGCGAAAGATGCACCGCGCTGCGGAGCCTCCGAGCCGAGGGGCGGTACCCCCGGGAGGGCAGTCGCCCACTGCCTGCACGACTGGGTCTCTGCCTCAGTTTCCCCGCGTAGTTCGCCTCAAGCCCCCCCCCGTGGGGGCGTGGCTTTGTTCTGGAGGGAAAAGTAGCGTGACTGCGTGACTCCAGCGCCTCCTCTTTCCCCTCGGGCCGGTGAGGCGCGTGGGTTTGGGCTCGCGAGGCGAGGATCCCGCGTGGTCCCTGTTGCGCAGAGCGTCTGGACCTCCCCCCCTCCTCGGGCACGGATTGACTCATCCGGGGATTTCCACCCCCTCCCCGGTGTCTGCTCTTGTCAGACGCTCCTGGCGCCGCGAGCTGAGCCCACAGTCCCCCCGCGTGGCGTGACGCGGGCAAGGCACTCGTGCGGCTGCTGTTTGGATCTCTCCCTCCCAGTCCTCCGGGAATCTCAAGGCGGGAGCCCCGGCAAGACGGAGAGGAGCCCTCCCTCCCCATTTGGAGGTGTGGGGGTCCCGCGCGTGTGGTGGTCGCGGGAGAAAGGAGGCGTGGCCCCATCGCGAGCGAGTGTGGATACCGCGCATTCCTCGGCTAGATAAGGACTCCGAGAGTGCGGCCAGGGGCGGGTCCTGCAGCTGTCTCCACGGTGACGCGCTGGGCTTCTCTGGTGGAGGGGTGGGGGGTGCTGCGAGCGGACCGAGGTGGCGCCAGCCTCCTCCGCTGTTGCTTTGGGCCTGAGCTGCTCTTAGGATCCTCCACCCTCGCGGGCCCACTGGGGCCTCTTTCGTTGATTCATTCCACACGTTTCCTGAGCGCTTACTGTATGCTAGGAATCTGTGTAAGCTTTGGGAACAGATTTGGTCGCTGGCCTCCGGCACTCACATTTTACCGTGGAAGCCAGACAGAAAACAAGAAATACGGTAATAATTTCCGATAGTAGCAAGTGGTGTGAAGACAATAAAGCCTGATGCTGAGAAAGAAAGGGCCTGGGGAAGGCGGCCACTGTAGACTGGTGGGCCTGAGAAAGTGACGTTTAAATGGAAACCTGAAGGATGAAGAGCCAGTCATTCAAGGATGGGGGTGGGGGCGGGGAGGAAGGATGTGCAAGGTGAGAGACAGCCTTGAGGTGGGGCTGGGGGTGGTAGGTAGAAGGCTATTGTGGCTGGAGCGGAGCGATTGCTGGGGAGACTGGGAGGAGACTAGGTGGGCAGGGACCACCCATTCAGGGCTGTGGAGAGCCATGGAAGAATTTGGAGCTGGGGGTGACCTACTGGATTTATCAGTTAAAAAACTAACCCCGACTGCTGGATGGAGAACAGCCTGTGGGGAGGCCTGACGGCTGGCGAGAAACCAAAAGAAAGAGGGTGGGGGCTGCCTAGGGCAGGGGGCATGGGATTGATGGTTGACTAGGGGAACTGGAACCACAGGGTCTGCCCCTCTGGAACTAGGAGGGCAGAGGGGAGCTAGAAGCCACTGAGCCTTCCTCCCACCTTGCCCTTGCCTAATCTCTAGCCAAAGAGTCGCATCATCCTCTGTCTCTCTTCCCTTCCCTCCACATCCTGCCACTTGTCCCTCTCACTCCATTTCAGGCCGGGCTGGTTCTGAGCCCAGTGACCTCTTGCTGAGCCTCTGGGAGGTAGTCAGGACTGCCCTGTGACAGTGAACAAGAGTCAGGCCTGGGAGCCTGGCCCAGGGGAGGGGAAGAGACGAGGCCTCTGTGTGTTTAGGGGGCGACTCCTCTGCCAGCCCCAGCACTCTTGGCCCTGCTTCCTCTTTCTGGGAAGTACAGACCAGCCTTAAGTTCCCGCCTTATGTTCTCCTCTAGCCAGTAGGGAAAATGAGACAGGGGAGGCAGTATGGGCCTCAGTTTTCCCTTTTCTGATGAGAAGAGCTGCCTCACCCTTTGTAGATGCTGTGACAGCCTCCTGGGACTGCAGAAAGTGGGGGTGCATCTTCTCCCAGGGAAGAAGACAGACTTTTTGGTTTGTCCCTGGGGTATGAGGGCTGAGCCCATTTCTTAAAATTAGCTGTAAATCTTTCTCTTGGCTGCCGGACTGGAGAGGGGTGGCGGCCCCCACATGAGCCCGGGATGGGAGGGGGACATGCCCTGGGCTTCTCCCACCATGGAGTGTGGTTCCCAGGCCCGTGACAGAGGCCTTAATTCTCAGTTATGAAACCCAGGAGGGGCCCAGCAGGCCAGGGCAGTCCGGAGACGTCTGGTCGGGGTGACCCAGCGGTCAGGCTGGGCTCAAACGTTCCCCAGGGACATCCACAGCCATAACTCGGTCCTTGGAAAAACTGCGCTCCAGCCGCCTGTAAACGACCCAACCCGTACTGCTAGCGGTAGAGCGCCCCCAGCTGGGCAATCACATGCCCAGGATGCAAAATTTAGGCCAATAGGCAAATCGTTCAGTGCCTTGGGATTGAAAACGAGCTAATCAGGGTGCTGGCTGTTTCCGGCCCGACGGCCGGTCTGGTAAGACAGCGGCCTGGGCCAAGCCAGCCAGGGGCCAGCTGCAGCGGGCAGAGGGCATCGGGGCGCCCAGAGCCCCGTCCGGCGGGAAAACAAGGGGCCTCTGTGTGGCGATCTGGGCGGGGCAGCCGTCCCCAGGGATGTGCACAAACCCTTCTCTGTTCCCAAACTAGGACGGATGTCCCTCCACCGGGGGAAGCAGCTGCCTCCGTCGGGCCGGGGGCCAGGGTGCCCCTTCAAAGGGGCAGCTGGGGGGCTGAGATGACTGTGCGATCCCGGAAGCCCCCCATCACTCCCAGACTCACTAGGAACCGGCCTAACCAGCCTTTTCTGGAAGGTGCTCCTGGAACGCTTGTGGTCCTTGCCAGGCCGGTTTCCAGGGACCTGGGGACGGCTCTTCCCGTGCGCTCTCCAATTAGCTGACGGCTGGAGCTTCCTCCCAGCCCCCCCTCGTGAAAGGCAGACCCGGCGCTGGCTAATCAGAGGCCCCCACCACCCTACCCTGAAGCTGAGGGAAGGCCTCTCCCGCCCCTCCCCGCTACGGCTCAGTTTTCCTTGGTGGGGGGTGTGGTGACTCAGGCCTTCGTGGAAACAAATGCCATCCCCCCCAGGGCTGCACGCCCCCTCACCACTCACATGAGTTTAGCTCGGTTACCCCATCCTCCCAGCCAGGACCTCCCAGAAGGGTCTCCCGTGGCTCCCCCACCTCATCTGCCCTTCCCAGCCTTCCCTGCACCGGATGTGACAGGGGAGCGAGACTCCACCCTGTTCCAGGGGCCTCACATCTGGATTTCATCCAGGCTGGGGAGGGGGATGCCAGTGCCCTGCCTACCCCCTTGGGACCCTCTTTCCCAGGGCAGAGCTAGATGGTGCTCATGAGAACAGGCTGTTGGGAATCTTGGCTGGCTGACTCAGTCAGCATCCCCTTCGAAAACATTGGGTGGCGGGCACTCAGTCCAGAGTTCTGTGTGTGGTGGGAAGAGGGGAGTGGTAATAATCACATTAGCTAATATTATATGCTAAGCATGCCTCATGCATCATTTAACAGGATTTAAACCCCTATAAAGTGGGCTTTCTTCTCCCCACTCCATAGACATTGAGACCGAGAAGCTGAGTTGCCCAAGGTCCCAGTGTGTTAGAAGTGGAGTGGGGATGGACCCTGGATTGCCTTCAAAATCTATGTCCTTTAAGATGACATGACCTTTGGGATGCTCAAACCTCAGGGCCACCCAGCTGTCTCCTCAAGACTTTATTTTGGGAGCACCCATGGCCTCAAGGCTTAGGTCCAGCCTGAAATCCCGGGCCATGGGTAGTAATGAGCAGGGCATACTGCTATCAGGGGCAAGCATCTCTTTGGCCCAGGTCAGCAGGTGGCTTGAGGCCCAAGGCCTCTGTGACTGCTGGAGAAAGGAGATGAGCCCTCCAGGCCCTGCCCAAGGCTTGCTCTCAGGCAGCTGGGCAAGGTTCCTGGAAGTCCTCATTGTGCCCATTTAGAGGGGGGAGCTTTTGGAAGTTCAGTTTCTTTTCCTTTGAAAGACTTATAGCCTAAGGGTTATGGAGGCTGCGGAGCCAGTCTCTCTGGCTCCACCACTTACCTGCTTTGAGACTTTGGGAAAGTGAATTGACCTCTCTGGGTTTCCCGTCCATAAAATGGGGATACAGTAATGCTCATTCTGACCGTATGGGACCACTCAGCAAGGAGGGACAGAGCTGAGACTCAAAGCCCAGGCCACATCCACAGCCCTGACCTGTCTGTCTGTCTCTCCTCTGTGTAGCTCCGACAGCCCCATGGCCCCAGCTGACCTCTGAGCTCCACCATGAGCAGCCTATACTCGGAGTACCTGAGCCCCGACAAGGTCCTGGAACACTACAATTACACAAAGGAGACACTGGACACGCAGGAGACACAGTCCCGCAAGGTGGCATCGGCCCTCATCATCATCATCTGCTGCGCCATTGTGGTGGAAAACCTGCTGGTGCTCATTGCAGTCATGCGCAACAGCAAGTTCCACTCAGCCATGTACCTGTTCCTGGGCAACCTGGCCGCCTCAGACCTCCTGGCAGGCGTGGCCTTCATAGCTAATACCTTGCTCTCAGGTCGCATCACGTTGAGGCTGACGCCTGTAGAGTGGTTTGCCCGCGAGGGCTCAGCCTTCATCACACTCTCTGCCTCTGTCTTCAGCCTCCTGGCCATTGCCATTGAGCGGCACGTGGCCATTGCCAAGGTCAAGCTGTACGGCAGCGACAAGAGCTGCCGCATGCTGCTGCTCATCGCAGCCTCCTGGCTCATCTCGCTGGCTCTCGGCGGCCTGCCCATCCTTGGCTGGAACTGCCTGGGCCACCTGGATGCCTGCTCCACCGTCCTGCCACTCTATGCCAAGCAGTACGTGCTCTGTGTGGTGACCATCTTCTCTGTCATCTTGTTGGCCATCGTGGCTCTGTATGTCCGCATCTACTGTGTGGTTCGCTCGAGCCATGCTGATGTGGCCGGTCCGCAGACGCTGGCCCTGCTCAAGACGGTCACCATCGTGCTGGGCGTTTTCATCGTCTGCTGGCTGCCTGCCTTTAGCATCCTCCTCCTGGACTATGCCTGTACTGTCCGGTCCTGCCCCATCCTCTACAAAGCCCACTACTTCTTCGCCTTTGCCACCCTCAACTCGCTGCTCAACCCTGTCATCTACACGTGGCGCAGCCGGGACCTGCGGCGGGAGGTGCTGCGGCCACTGCAGTGCTGGCAGCAGGCAACAGGGGTGCAAGGACGGCGAGGAGGGATCCCGGGCCACCGCCTCCTGCCCCTGCGCAGCTCCAGCTCGCTGGAGAGGGGCACGCACATGCCCACGTCACCCACATTTCTGGAGGGCAACACGGTGGTCTGAGGGATGGGTGGGCTTACAACCAGGCCGATGGCAGAGGGCCATGTGGAGAGGTACTGGGTGACCTCAGACAGAGATGAGGGGCTTCCCAGCCAGATGCCCTCATCCTGCAGACCTGGGCAGTATTGGAAACATTCCACAGCTGGTTTGGCTGAAGTACTGACCAGTTAGATGGCAGAGCTGCCGCAGGGTCCTGGAGGCCAGCACCAGTGCCCGGCATGACCATTTTGAACTGGATCATGAGATGGCCTGGGGGGTCCTGGAAAGGACCAGGGTGATTGCAGGCGGGCACTCAAGGGGAGCTCGAAACAGGAGCAATTGACCAACCAGTACAGAGTATTTCAACATCGGAACAACTGGCTGACCCTCTGGCCTGCTCCAGACTCCCTTCTCTGAATTTTCCCTCCTGCCACCTTCTCCTGGCAACCTCAGGCCGCTTCCCTGGACCTCTGTCCCCTGGAGCTGGAGGCCTCTTCCCTGGCCTCCAGGGTTGCCTCAGTTACAGTGCCTGGGCCCAAATCCACAGCTTCCCCAAATTTCACCAGCTGTCATTTTGGCTACTTCTTCCCTCTTCTCTCACTCCCCAAGATGCCAGGAAACCACAGGGTGGGGGTGGGGGGCTAAGCCCCATTCTCAGACCTCATTGGCCAATTGCACTATTGGGGTGCAGAGAAATCACCAAAGGCTGGAAAAATTGGTTTTGGGGGTGGGGGAAGGGATTTGGGCCACCCCCCAGTGGGGCAGGGTAGAACTTGAGAAAGTTCTGAGGGAGATATTTGCACAGGACCCCCCTAAAATCAAACCGTCCCCAAACTACTCCCACCTTCAGCCACGGCCAAGGTACAAGGTCCCCTAAAGCAGAGCAGCCTTCAGCTGCTGAGCCTCCCTTCAAGTTGTATTGAACGGAGCATGGGGTTAGGGTGACCAAGGACATTTCCTGGGGGCACTCTCTCCTAAACTGCCCCAGAAAGATTTTGCTCAATCCTGTGGATGGATGGAAGGGACGCTGCGGTACAAATGTATATTTATGTGTCTGTGTGTGTCTTTGTGTGCACGTGTGTGATGGTTGTGACCTGGCTCCCCGCCGTTGTTTCCCCCGGAATGGATGCTGTTCTGTCTCCTAATGTCTGTGTTGAAGCTGCCGAAGGGGGTTCTGGCCCTACAGAGACCCCTTAGTAATTGCTGGCTTGTCTCCCCGCTTGAGAGCTGGGGTGCAGCTTACCTTAGAGAAGGAAACCTCACACCTCCAACTCAAGAATGCAAAGGTTGGAGGGGTCTCTGGGGGGCAAGGAGCCAGTCGGGGGCTTGTCTCCCCTTATACAGCTCCCCAGACGCCCCACATGCCTGAGACCCAGATCTGGGCCAATAAACGGTTCAATTTCTCTTTCTGATCCTGGTTGTGTCTTTTTCAGGGATTCGAACCCCCACTGAGAATTTGCATTTCTAACAAGTTCCCAGGCAATGCTAACACTGCTGGTTAGGGACCAATTCCGAGAACCACCAGTAAGATCAGTGGTTCTCAAAACTTATTATACATAAGAATCACCTGGGGGTCTTCTTAAACTGTAGATTCTGATTCAGCACATCTGGGGCGGAAATGCAACTTGTCGGGGGTTTGAAGCCCTGGTCTGTTTAGGCTTAAGGCGACAGTTCCTCCATTACCATCCTCTGGCTGGGGTGGATGGGACGGAAGGGTGGCCTTGCTGGCCTTCCCATTCGGTGCCCCCACCCCTAGCCTTGCGGAGCCAAGATCGCAGTGGCTTCTGGTGTCAACACTGACTTTTCCCCTGAGATAGCTGTCTGCTAGCCTCTCCCAGAAACTGCTGGTGATTAATTATGCCTGGGGCTGCCCTGCTTTCCTTCAAAGAGACAGTTCAGTGGGTGGTAAGGGACCCTTCTCCATCCTAGGTTCATATCCCTCTTTCCCTTTCAGGGGAGCTGCAGAGGTGGTCTTGGGGGGCAGAGTAGGCCCAGATAGCATTTTGGGCTGCAGTATTCCCAAAAGTAATGGCTCACCTTCATCCAGCACTTTACAGGAGTTGGGGGAGGGTGGTTGTTAACAAACTTCTTTTGTGGAGATGGGGCTTCAGAGAAGTTAAGCGAGCTGCTCAGGGTCACACAGCCAGTGGGGGCAGCGCCTATCAGAATCTGAACCAAGGCAGGATGACCCTGCATTGCTGGCGCCACCACTGGGCTAGAGAGAGGCCCCTCAGCCCCCTCCTTGCATGGATGGTAGGGGGAGGCATGGGCCACCAACCCCACCCAGAACCAGGAGAAGCCCAGATGGCCTACAGCTGGGGGGTGGGTCTACAGCTAAGCTACGGGTGACTCCTTTGCCTGGAGGCACAGGGCCCAGCGGCTCCTTTGAAGCCAAGTCTGGAGCTTTGATGGGGGTAAGGGGAGCCCAGGCCACTAAGAGGAAGCCCCACCCAGCAACACTAGCACAAACAAGCACAACCAGTGGGAGAGAAGGCGTGGGACAGACTGCTGCCAGGGGACCAGGGGCTGTACAACCCACGCCCCTCCCCATATTGGAATTCCCTTCCCCCATCAGAGACAAGCTGAGCTTGGAAACCTGAGCCCCCGTTGGGATTGGTGGGAGGGAAAGAGGCACCGGCCAGGCGAGCATCAGTAAATTTCCCGGAAATACCCACACCCCACACGCTTTCTCCCTCTCCTCCTTTGGGCCTTTGTTCAAATATCACCTCCTTAGAGAGGCCCACCCTGACCACCCCTTTCCCTGTCTATCTAGCCTCTCACCTGCTTATCACCTGGAAGTATGTTATATATTGATTTGTCTGTCTCCCTCTGTTAAAATACGAGCACCATGAAGGTAGGACTGCATCTGTCCTATTCACCACTCTGTCTCTTGTACCTTAAACAGAACCTGTCATGTTCCCACCTCAGGGCCTTCGCACTTGCTGTTTCCTCTACCTGGAATGTTCTTCCCCAAGAAATCCAGTGGCTCCTCTCTCTTCCTTCAAATCTGTATTCAAATATCATATCCTGGGCAAGTTTTCTGGCCATGCCATATACATATTTCTGTTTTATTTTTTCCTTCTTATGACTTGCCACTCCAACATACAACCAAAAAATCAGTCATGCTGAGTTGATTCCAACTCATGGCAACCCTATGTGTCAGAGTAGAACTGTGCTCCATAGGATTTTCTTTTTCTTTTTCTTTTTTTTTTATTGTGCATTAGGTGAAAGTTTACAGAGCAAATTAGATTCCCATTTGATAGTTTGTATATAAAATGTTTCATGGTCTTAGTTTCATTCTCTCTCTCTCTCTCTCTCTCTCTCTGTCTCTTTCTCTCTCTCTTTTTAATCTCAGGGGAGTAGTTTCAGGGTTCATCCAGCCTCCATGGCTCCAGAAATCTGGATTCCATTAGAATTTTAAATTCTGTTCTACATTTTCCCCCTTTTGATCAGGATTCTTCTATAAAATCTTTAATCAAAATGTTCAGTAATGGTAGCTAGGCTCCATCCAGTTCTTCTGGTCTCATGGCGAAGGAGGCAGTTGCTCCTAGAGGCAATTAGCCACACATTCCATTTCCTCCTCCTATTGCTGACTCTCCTTCTTCCTCTGTTGCTCCAGGCTAATAGAGATCAATTGTTGTGCATTGGATGGCTGCTTGCAAGCTTTTTAGAGCCAAGGCACTGTGCAACTGAACTAAGAGGTAGAACAGAAGCACTAAACACATTGTTAGGCTTATTAACCAGGAATGTCCCATAAAACCATGACCCTAAACCTCCAAACCAAAGAACCTAATCCCATGAGGTGTTTGGTTGTACATAAGCAGCCTCAGCAGGTACTCTTTTTCCATAGGGTTTTCAGTGACTGATTTTTTGGAAGTAGATCACCAGGCCTTCTGAGGCACCTCTGGGTGGACTACAACCACCAGTCTTTGGGTTAGCAGCCGACCACATTAACCATTTGCACTACCCAAGGACTCCCTAACATGCAACGCATTCTGCTTATTTATCCTCCATCTCTCCCTGTAGAATGCCAGTTCCACAACGGCAGGAATTTTTGTCTATCTTGTTCACTGCTGGGTGTCCAGTTTCCAGAACAGAGACTAGCACACCAAAACCCAAAAAACCAAAACCCAAAAAACCCAAACCCATTGCTGTCGAGTCAATTCCAACTGAGAGCGACCCTATAGAACAGAGGAGAACTGCCCCATAGGGTTTACAAGGAGCACTGGCAGATTCAAACTGCCAGCCTTTGGGTTAGCAGCCAAGCTCTTAACCACTGCACCACCAGGGCTCCGACTAGCACACAGCAGGAGCTTAATAACTGTTTGTTGAATGAGTGAAAGCAAAAGCAAATGATGGTCATTCCAGTGAGTGTTAAGTGCTATGAATAAAATAAAATAGGGGAAGTAACAGTCAGAGAAATCTCTGGAACAAGTCATACTCCGCATTCATTGGACAACCCTTTGGAAAGATGAATAATTATAATAATAGTAAAAACAGCCTAATGTGTACTGAGTATTGTTGGAAGTACTTTACACCTACAAACTCATGGAATCCTCACAACCACCCTGTGGAGTAGGTACTATTATCTGCTCTTTGACAGGTGAGGAAACTAAAGCACAGAGAGGTCAAGTAACCTATCTAAGGTCACATCGCATGTGAGTGGAGGAGCTGGGATTTGAACTCAGACAGTCCTTGACCACAGTCACATTCAATTCTCCTCAATATCTGGGTCTGAAGAAAATCCAGTTTGCTGACATCTCTCAAATCTTGGAGCCTAGGGCAGAATGGGCCAACCCACAGGGGCACACAATGTCTTTCACTCCTTTTTCCTTAGGGAGGCTGTTGGATATTAGAGAACATCAGAATCACCCAGAAGAACCTGTTAAAAGGGAGATTCTCTGGCCCTGTAGTCAGAGATTTTGATTGAGTTGGTCTGAAGTCCCTGGGTAGCGCAAACTGTTATCGTGCTCACTGCTAAACCAAAGGCTGGAGGTTGGAATACACTCAGAGACACCTTGGAAGAAAAGCCTGACAATCAGCGCCTGAAAACCCTATGGAGCACAGTACTACTCTGACACACATGAGTCAGAATCAACTCGACAGCAACTGTTTTTTT